TTCGTTTAGTTTCTTCAAGAATCTACAATTCCGTTCAACATTGCACTATCGATCCCTGTCGGGAAGCCGAGCGTCCGAAATTTTAGTTCCAACGCTGTGACAATCGATAACGCTGTTGCGAGCGCGATGCAACTCTCAGCGTTGATAATCGGTGACGTTACCGTGTCACGTTATTTTCAGCGAAAAGTGCACGTTATAGTACACTTTCGCGTTCGTTTTTATATGTAACGTTCCAGCGTTTTTCTCGTTCCTTTCTGTACGCGCGTAGTCACGTTCCGTAAATTCTTGATAGAACTCGGCCCCGACCCCTCCGGGTGAAAGTTACTCCCAAAATTAGCCAGTCTCGATCGCAGCATTAATATACACAGATGCGGAGTTGTTTAACCGAAGCCAATAAATAGCAGTGTTATGATACATCAAGATAACGATAGACCGTGCGACACTACGCGGCGCATGACTAAACGTTTTCCCGTAAACTATTAGATATGGCTTTTAAATGCCCCGAGGTGCTTATCGCCCTCGAGATTACGCCCGCGAGTGTACTAATCGCGCCAGCGGTCATTTAACCGACGATCTTGACCCTTTCAAAGGATTCGCTTCTTTTCACGGCCGCCGATTACTACACGAAGCATGTACAAGTACGCAGAGAAAAAAAAAGAAGAAAAAAAAAATACAAGTGTACAAAGATAGAAAAGAGAAGTGCTTCGTTTTGAACGTAGATATACGGCCCAGAGAAAAAGCTGATGTTTATTAACGCTAGACTTGCCAAAGTGGTCGAAATTTATAACTTTGTCAGAGTAATTTCGCGGGCTTGAGATGTTTTAGACGTTTGAATGATTGGCTACTTTATCCTGATTCAATATTTATTGGATCCCGAGAATCGAAGAATTAACGCGTATTACTGACAGATGCATATATATTTGATTGGAAGAATTTCTGCCATCGACAACGATTCTGGATGAAAATCGAGAGAATCTGTCCTTCACATAGAAGAATAGAACATTTTACAATAAATCGAGAGAAACTCGTTGTCATCCGAAGAATAACGGTTTACAATAAATCCAAGAAACTCGCTGCTCTTTCTCACGATCGCCACCTCGTGTTTAGAGGAAGATGTTGCGTTCGCATCGTGGTTTCGGCACGCAAATTCGTCAGCAGCTCTCGAGCGGATTTCGAGCAAGTAGCAAGTAGTAGCCGGCGGATTCCGTGCAACCTGTACCCCCAAGAGAGTCCTGTGGAATCAGCTAAATAAGAGAGAGAGAGAGAGAGAGAGAGAGAGAGAGAGAGAGAGAGAGACGCGCGTGAGTTGGTGTTGCTCGTCGAAGAAAACGCGTTGGCCAAAACGTCGAGAACAACCGTCGGGATACGATAACAGTTGGCCGGGTGTATGTATCCGAGGGAGCCCGCGGGGACGCGCGCGACACGACTATGCTCTCGATATTCCGTTTTTCTTCGGGCGCTGTCTCACTCGGCCGGGTACCACCACCCGGCCGAGTGTAAGCCAACAGAAGTAAGGACGGGTTTCCGATTAAGGCCTTATAATTGACGTCCCGAGTCCCCCTTACCCGTCCCCCCTCCCTCCCCCCTCCCCGACCCCCTTCGCCCCGTCTGGCTTAGTCACCGGCAAACCGGGAGAAGGGCCGCGGTGGCGGGACCCGCTTTTGCGGATCGCGGATCAACGAACCGTCGCCGGACACCAGACGCGTTTGCGCCTCTTTTCACGCCCGACCTCGGCGCAACAACCCTCGCCACTGCCACGCGCTTCTCTCTCATCTTCTCGTTCGTAATATCTGACGACGCAGCCACGGGTTCGACGGATCGAGAGGCGGTAAGTCGATAAGTTCTCCGAAAAAAATCTGTGAAAAGATGGGAGAGACCAGCGCGAACCAGGGTGTTCGGGAAGCCAGGATGTTAACATTTCCACGCAGTAGTCCAATGCGGAAATATGAAAATTCTCTGAAGATTGTCCCTCGCGTGACCTCTTGAAACTTTCCAGGGAGATTGTAAAATCCCACGATATCGAGCTTGGAAATCTTTGGAATTCTCTGCTCTGGCGATATTAAAAAGTAGGATCAGATTGCGCGAATTGGATCGAACAAACAATTCTTGGTCCTTTTAGAACGAACAATTCTTTTCCACCCCGTTAGCGTGAAGTAAAAAACGAGTAAACGTCGAATAAATTATCAACAATCGCTATCAAACGGGGATCAATAGGTTCTGAAGATTGAATTTCTTCGAGAGGGAGAGCTCGAGCTCGCAGGTTTACGCGACGGTGAGACTTATTTTTTTTTTTTTTTGTCTTCTTTTAACGATCGGTGACAAAGATTCGACGAGATTATCAAGATTCGAAGCTGCCGGGAATCCAATTTAGTCCTCAACGTTCAGCCGTACATGATAAATCGGTTTAAGCAGAGACTCTCTCTCTCTCTCTCTCCTCGGTCTCTGCGAACGAGACAGAGCTCCGGGCTCTCGGCTCTTCGCGAGACAAGATAGACTCCGCGAGGCTTTGATAATGGGATAAGTCGCGAAAACTTTCGATACGCGTCAAGGCGGATGTGTGTAACACGCACAGGTGAGAGGAGAGTTGGAAGAGATGGGCTGCCGGGCGCAACGAGCGCAACAGTTTCCAACTGGGTAAACGAGAGACGAGGAAAGTGGACGACGAAAACGGCGGCTAACGAGGCTGGATCCCGGCTCGCTCTCGAACAAGTATCAAAGAACTTTGCTCCCTTTGCGCGGGATCGTGCACCTTCGCGTCGTACACGTACCGACAAGGTAAGCCTCCGGTTCAAAACAGGAAAAAAAAGAAAAAAAAAAAAGAAACGAAGTATATACGAGATATTTGCAAAGCGACCCGCTTTATGAATAAAACAGAATCCCGAAACTGAACGTGTCCCGAATAGACCACCTCCACCCGAACAGAGCCACGCGTCGGCTCGCTGTTCCGATTTCATCAATTTCGCGCCGTTAGTTCGTTCTCGTTTAACGCGTGTTAGATATCAGGTTCCATCGATCATCTTTCCGTCAACGTCCCAACGTTTTCAACAGCGCGTTTCTCTGTTGCACGGGCAAAGGGGGCTGTTTTCGCGCTTTCTCCGCTGGACGACGATAAAAATTAAAATTAAGAGATTAAAAATCCATTTCCGGTTGAGAGAATCTCGGAACGCAGACAATCTCGCTCGGGCGGCGACAATTCCCTGTTATCTGCGCGATTACGTTCGGGTATCGATAACTTGTCTTTCGCAACGCACGGAATTCCACGTCGCGATTAATTCGACCGACCAGCGACAATTTCGATATCGCCGGCCGCGTGGATTAAGGATCCTTCTATCGAATTTTTATGCATCCACGATACGGACGCAAAGGTGCATGCACCGCGATATGCACACAACGTACGAGGAACAGATGAAATATTCAAAGTAAAGCATCTGCCGCGATATTTTAGAGAGCGTTGCGTTCATCAAAATTTCAATTTGCATGAACATACGCGGTCTAGCGATGAATATTAAGGCGAAGCTCGTACACTCACGATGAAAAATTCGGAGCGTGTTGCTTCGAATCTTCCGAAGAAACGAGACGCTGCTAGTTCTTGGAAACTCTGAATAAGTACGGTACACTGTCCTTTTGTACGTTTCATTTCGGAGACGAACGTTGTAACTATGACACGAGAAATTAGAGAACGCTTCGTCCGCGAAACTTTCTATTGTAAAAAAAAAAAAAAAAAAAAAAAAAAAAAAAAAAAAAAAAAAAAAGGAAAGAAAAATAACACTGTTACGAACAAAGTACAAATTTCGAATTTTGAAATCTCCATATGCTTCAAAGTTTCAGGCAAGACAACGTTAGACCAGGTCGAGAAGGAAGGTCACACGTGTGGAAACGGGACGTGTCAGCTCCCGTGAAGAAGTCTCGCAGATGTTCCGTGACGAGGTTCTTTCGATATCTCGGACGATGTCGCGATAAATCAAAACGCGTAAGGTGTCGGTGCCGCCGGTAGTCGTCGGGCTGCGGCGCGAACGAGTCTTTGGCCGGGAATTGTCGCGGTGGGAACGTGCAGGGAAGTACGGGAACGTTGAACCGCGAGCAAATTGGACCATCTTCAAAACTCGTGGCTCGTTACGCTGCCTCTAGCGAGTGGAGTTCCGGTGGAAACGGTCGGATCGCGGTCGTCGTCGTCGTGGTGAGTTGTCGTCGATAGGCCAAACGTTTCGAAGTGCCGACGAGTAGTAGTTGTAGGCTCGGGCGCTCGCGAACATCGCGCACTCACGCACGCACGCACGCACGCACGCACGCACGCACTCACGCACGCACGCCGACTTGAAGGCGATCCAACTTACGTGGCGGTTTAAATATACGCGTGTTCGCGTCTCGATTACGCGCCTCGAGGAAAGCACCTCTTCTCCTCGTACGTGGGCGTACTCGAAGCCAGCCAGAAACGAGTCGCGCAGATACGATAAGTAACAGCGTCAAAGCTTGGTTACAATTTATTGTTCACGGTTCTAACTTGTCCGGAATGACTTTTTGCCGAAGCCGAAACACACCGTTCCGTACCGCGGCTGGAATCGCGTGTGTGCCGGATTAGGTTTCTAACGGCCGGCAAAACCGCCCTTTTTCCATCGTATATAATCCGAGCGTGTCGGAGAAACATCGCGGTGCGGCTCCGCCATCCGCAAGCATCGGATATGATATTTAAAAAGAGATTAAAAAAAAAAAAAAATCCTAGACACGAGAGATAGCTATCGATTCGATGAAAGATCTTCTCGCCGGAATTCAGACTGGCGTGTAACGCGTTTTCGATAGAATCCCGTTTTTCTCGCGCGATGGTAACGCCGGAGTCGCGAGACGCAGAATAGAGAATAGAGATTGACTGGCGGAGGGGTCGCGAGTCAAAAGCACGCAGCTGCAATAACTCCCGATCGTCGCCGATACAAGGCACCTCTCCTTCCCGGTGGAGAGGTTCGAAGCTCTCAGATTAATGGGCCAGAGAGATGAATCGTACTCACCGTAATCCGGTCGAGTGACAGCCTGCACCGCCTGTTCGTTCTTCTTGCTTCGTATCACCGGCTCACCGAGGATCGTGAAGTTTCTGGGTCCCACGCGATTCACAAACACTAGATACACTTTACCCCTCTTAATATTGGCTCGCACCACACCACTCTGATTATCGCGTTGTTGCTGGTGCTGCTGCTGCTGTTGTTGTTGTTGTTGTTGTTGTTGCTGTTGCTTCCCTGTTGCATCGGTGTCGTAGCCGCAAACGGTGGACTTGCCCGGTGCCAACTTGTCGCGAAAGTGCAGCCGAACGCTGTCGTTCTTCTGCAACGGTTGGAAACCAGGCTGGCTCTTGTATACTTGCTTCACCTCGAACGTCACCGCGTAGTTCGAGCCCGGTTTCCTCACGGACGACATGCTCCTGGCCTTCCCCTCGAACACCGTTGGCGCCAGATACGCCCTGTTACCGACGTCCACGTCCGGACACCAATTCTGTCCGCGGCAACCCTTGTTCCGGCATCTTCGTCGCTGCTCCCTCGGCGAGTCGGCTTTCGTGCGATTCTTTGGTCGTTGCTTCGTCGATCGGACGACGCGCGGCCTCTCCATCGACGACTGGGTGGTCCCGAACGAGTAGAGAATCGGCGTTTGCGTCGACGAGTGACGCGGTGGCCGGGTCAATCCTGTCTCCTCCATCTTTGGATGACGAACGTTCGCCGGTTTGTCCTCGAGTCTACGACGACGATAGCCACCACCGATCCGCTTCGACGTCGATACGAACACGTCGCGTATCGAGTCGTCAAACTCCTCCGTGTACCTGTTCGAGGCATCCTGCGAGCCAGGATTCCCCACCGGGAACGTCGACGAAGCGACGGTTCGATAACTATTGGACGGTTGTTCGAACGGCGACGATGTACCCTCGTCACCGTACTGCTGGTACGTCCACGAATTTGACTCGGCGACCCGTTGTTTGTCATTCTCGGCGACAAGTTGCAAGTTGGAGGCAGATCCTCTTCTCTCCTGCCGCTGCTGTTGAAGTTGCTCCGATCGTTGGTTAAGCCGCGACGCTTCAAGGGGAAGGTCGTCGTTGTCAACCGGTAATTTGTAATCTCGCGTCGGCTGAGCGAGACTCTGGTCGGCTGTTCGGTGCTCGCGTCTACTACCGATAGTTCGCGTAACGAAGTTCCAACTTGGTAAACGGTAATCGAGGGGCTTTTCAACGGCGGCGATGCTCATCGATGGCGGATGATCGCTGGTGGTCCTCGTCGACGTCTCCTCGAGGGTGTTCCAATTGGCGGGGGGTGCCGCAGCGAGCGCCAGTGCGCCCCACCAGCCGCTTAAGATCCCGGCCAAAAACAGAGACGCCCACATCATCCGACCTGCTTGCTGGTTTGATCGGGGGTGAGGTCGACACCTCGGTCACCCCGAACGCACCACACACCACCACTCTCTCTATCTCTCCCTCTATTTGTCTCTGTCTCTTTATCTAACGCGCTCTTCCTCTCTTCCCTTCTGCCCTGCGTGATTTCACCTGCGAAAAATCCCGCTCCCTCTCTCTCTCTCTATCGATATCGCACGATCTCTCCCCCCGTCTCTCGCTCGCGATAAATCTTCAACGAAGCCTCATCCGTTTGGCGTTCGTTCCACTCCAATCTCCTTTCCTTCTCGATACTACCTTCGTCGACTGTCGTCAAAGAATTGGAAATCAAGGTGTTCACGAAGTATTGTACCATCGGCAACAGCGTAACATCGACACTTCCATCGGACAGATTCTCGGCTGTCTGCTCTTCGTCCAGCGTAGTACCAGTACCGTCCTCTTCATCCTTGATGCCTCCGGATGGATGCGACAGCAAACACCGCGGTACGACAAAATCGTACTGCGTCTGTCTCGCGATTATCGCGAACGATCACGACCGCCGGCTGCCGCGATTCTGCTCCCTCTAAACCGCATCGCGATCATCCTGTCGATCGGTCGAGAATAACATCCTGTTCGCGGATTACTCGTCGCCAGAGGCCTCTTCGCTCCCTTTTTAATATCCAGTTCCTTCGTCTTTCGTCTGTACGCGTTACAATGGTACTCCTACATTCGAAATAATGACAGATAACCTCCGCGAGTTTCTCTTTCTTGGATTTCAAACCTATTTGCAAATTCGCGTATCCTCGAACACGATGGAGGTCTAGGTTCTCTACGGTCTACGTCGTCGTCGAACCGATCCAATCCAACCTGATCCGGAATATTGTTCGTACGATGCTCGAGTTTCGTCTTCTTAGGGGGGAAGCACTGTCCCGGCCGACGAATCGACGACGCTGTTTCCGTATCTCGAAATAAATCGTCGAAAGTTGATAAGGAATTTCGCGCCACCGCCGAGCTGTCGTGGCTCACAGTCTCTCGTCGTATCACGTTGCACTCCGAACGAGGAAAAGCCAAGGATGATGACACACGACGTAGGAAGGAGCGGTAGAATAAGAAGAATTAGAGAAGGAGAAGAAGAAGAAGAAGAGGAAGAAGAAGAAGAAGAAGAAGAAGAAGAAGAAGAAGACGACGACGACGACGACGACGATGAAACGACGACGACGACGACGACGACGACGACGACGACGAAGAAGACCAAGAAACTGTCGGCTTCCTCTGACCAGCCACAGAGACACACTATTTAAATATACTCACGAGGCTCTCGCGCGATTGGTAGTGTCGGACCGTCGATGTCTAGCCCTCGCGCGACGCACTTCACTGCTCAGTTTTACCGCACGATTCCTTCGCCACCACCTCCTCCTCCTCCTCCCTACGTCCAAACTCGCGTCGATGTTTCACGGTGGCCGCGGCACTAACGACGTCGTCGACGGCAGAGCGATCGCGACCACGATCACGACCACGATTACGATCACGATCACGATCGGGATCGCGCACGGGAACGAGTCCGACCGAGTGTAACGAGTAACGAGTAACGTTGAAACGGGAACGAACTGCAACGTCTTCGCGAGCGAACGAATTCCCGACGCAGAGACGTGTGAACGGAGTGAGCAACGGTGAGCGTCGTGGTCGTGGGATCCGCGAGGAGGAGCGACCAACGACGACGACGATCGTGGTGCAACGCAACGGGTACGACAACTTGGACAGCGATTCTCTACCGATGGCAACGACGCTTCTTCTTCGGTCGGTTGTGCGCTGGATGGCAGGCACGCGTGCGGTTAATATCGTGCGGGGGATCGGCGCGTGTGTTGCACGCGGCATGCACGAGGAGCCTCGTGTCACGTCGAGGCGGAGAAGGGATTGTCGGTGGCCCCGCGTCGGGCGCGCGCGACGGTTCAAATTAGACTGAACGGCCCGCTCGCGCAGCCCGAGGCCGGCCACAGCGCCAGCGACTCCTGGCGGACGCCGGTCGAGGCTCTGCGCGCGCACCGACCGAAGCGGCGACACCGAGAACCCCGTCTCGCGCGCGCTCTCCCTACACACTCCACTACTACACTACCACTACTACTACTGTAGCTGCTGCTGCTGCTGCTACTACTACTACTACTACTACTACCACTATTACTACTACTACTACTACTACTGCACACAGCCAGACGCCAGACCACGGGACCTTTAAGAACCTGTGTAACGACGATCTAACAACCGAGGAACCGCACGCGTCATCCTTCTCCCTCTTCTCTCTCACGTCTCCTTTTTCCTTCCTCGCTGCGCACACAACCATCACCGACGCCTCTCCCTCTCTCGCCATCTCTCCGCCACTCCGATTGCACCTTGTCACTCACTCACTCACTCACTCACTCACTCACTCACTCACTCTCTCTCTTTTATTCAACTTCATCCGTCGCCGATCCTAAGTAAGTACTCCAAAACATAAATGTTCTCTTTGTTACGCCGCGCGCGCGACCGCCCTCTTTTTTAGGTTATGCACCCGCGTGACTTCGAATCCGTAATCGAGCGGCGTAAAATTGCCGGTTGCTCGCCCAAGTTTGACGACACGTTTCAACCGGGAAACCGCGACGACTCTGCAACGAATCGCGGCTTCGACTTTCTCGCGTTTTTTCACTTGACAGTTGTCGCGAAAATTCTAATCGAAGCGCGGGCACACGCGCGTGTCAATCCGGGGACGCGTCAAATGTTCGCGCATTAAAGATGGCGTCATTAACGGTACGTTACTCGCGAAATATTCCCGAAGCGTCTTTACGCGCTTGTTGCAGCACGCCTCGCGTTACAAATTCCATTCTTCGTTTTACGTCGTATTTTCACGCGGTGTTGACGTACACGGAGGTTCTACTGACCCTCGTCACGTTTATTTTTTGTTTACGCTTTTTGCGGAGGTTTCACTTTGCTCGGTGCGCTAAGGCGACATGGTTCAGCGCACAATAAACGCCTTTCTCCGTCTCGCTCGATCCTACGGCCGCGACGTTAGATTGTCCTTCGTTCAGACATTTATAAGTACAATCTAGTGGACGACGTTGTTACTTTTTATCCTTTCCCTTTTTTTTCCGCACTTTTTTCTCCCCCTCTTCCTCCTCTTTCCGTTTTTTTTTTTTTTTTTTTCCCTTTATGCTTATTTATGTCCCGAGAAAATCTCGTTCCCAGCCATGAAATGCACATCAGGCTCTCTCTCGTTAGTAGTAGTGGCAGTATCGTTTTTATTTCGTTTTCTCTCTGACGAGCCTTTGTTTTTCCTTTGCTACACCGGCGAAATGTGATTTCAAACGTGCTCCGTGTTCTTACGACGACAACCACGACGACGACTACGATGCACGACACTTTGATTTTTAACGCGCGTGAATGTACACGAGGAGACGTCGTGTTATTGCCATTGCCATTACGTAATTAGTGTCGGCGAGAATTCCCGTTGACAGGAGCGAAATCGGCCGGTAACAACATTTTCAAACTGTTACGAATCTTTGCACAGACTCGTGTCGGTCAGATCGCCACGTTTCGGACGAAGAATCCGTTCATCTTTCTTGCCCGAAAGAGGACGAACGAGGCCAATTCGCTACGAACAATATCTCAGATCAGGACGCGAAATTAATATCAGCGCTCCACTATTTACCAGCTCTTGGGAAGACAGGCCGAACAATCGAAATACGTTTCGGAGCGGTAATGACGAAGCACTTATTAAAATCAACACCGGCTGCAACGGCGTGCAATCAGGTTGCTCCCTATAAAACGTTAAACTGTTACGAATCACGGACGGACGCGTTCGGAGCCATTATCCCGAGTCTCGAGGACATTTCGCTTTCTTCGCGTCCCCTCGTTCCCCTCGAAGCCGGCCGGTCCGAGACGTGCTCTTTTACGCTCGCCGTGTTCGACGGGTCGTTCCTCCTCTTCCTCCGACGGCTCGCGCCTTTCAGCGTCATCGGGCCACCGAAAATAAAGTCTTCCTTCGTTTCCCTGCCGTTCCTTCTTACCGCCCCCGTCTCTCGCTCCTCATCGCGCCGCGCTTCCGTACGAAGCTGCGCCAGTTGTCCCAGAGAGGTTTTTAAAAACGAAAGAGAGAGAGAAAGAGGGGGAGCACCGACGACGACGCTCAAGAGCGAACTCTCCTCGAGAGCTGCCAATCAAACGACCCGCCAACAGAGTCGGCCTCTTAAACGGGTAGTTTTTCACACTCCGTCCCCCGTGACAGATTAATTCCGAGCTAAATAGCGACACTTAAGCGTGCCGCGTCATAATTAACGTTTTCATTTCGTTCACCTCGACGCTTCTGCCATTTACACGGAACACGCCGTGCGCGACGCGTCCTGTTGTTTCTTCTTTTTCCGCTCGCACCATCAGCAACTCCCCCATTTTCCGAACGTTTCGCCATACGATGGGACGATCGAATCGCTCTCCGCTCTGCTTAAATAATAAATAGAAACAGTCCAGCCGTTTCGGCCTGTGTCCCGCCCGTGCCCGGACGTTAAATAACCGCGGCGTTCGAAATTCCGCTGATTAATCGGCGCAGCCTCGTTCCGCGGCCGAATATTTACGGCGCGTTCGTCGTGATAATGTATCGGTGACACGACCGTCCCTCATTATACCTGTCCTATGCCGATGGAATTCGCATTGAAACGTTTTATTCTCGCTCAAACGATCAAATCCTGCTGCGTTCTTTACGAATCAATTCTGTTCTTCTAGTTTCTCATCCGGCTACAGTTTTTTCATCCTAGAACTTGGAGCAACTCGCGAAGCCCACCCAAGTTTGTTCTATTCTCGATCGGATTCATTTAAAGGTACAAATATTTTACTTTGCGAGTATTGATACTTTCGGAGCATCCATCGGTAAAAATTGTGGAGCATCCTTTGCCGTTTAAATGAAGCAAACCGTCCCTGTACATTTTTTTTTTTTTTTTTTTTTTTTAAACAAAAATATTATGATTATAATTTTCATGTTTTAATATAATTAATTACGCGTGTATAAAACGATGGCCTGCTACGACAAAACGTCGTTTAATTTCTTTTGAAATCCTAACATACCCCATATCCCTATGTCGTAATTGTATCGCGGCCATACATTGTAACTTTTATTTTTTAATATAATTAATTACAGTTTAAACGTATCTGTGCATACAAAACGATGGTATTATAAATGAAATGTCCCCTTTGTGAACAAAATGTCGTTGATTCCTTTGAAATTCCGACATACCCCATATCCCTGTGTCGTAATTATTATACATTTTCAATTCTTTTTTTCAATGTCAAAGAAAATAATATGTCTTTCACATTTTCTACTCGAAATTCGCGGAGCCGGTTCCTCGGTCTTTCCAGAGTTTCGATCGATGGAAGAAAAAGAGGAGGAAACGCGGATTTTTCCAACGACAATTACCGGTGTATCCCCGAAACGAAATGCCCAGATTTTTGCAACGATGACGCGAATCGATCCTTCCGGTTCTTTTTCATTTTTTTTTTTTTTTTTGTTTCGTTCGTCACACATGGTTATCCGATGATTACCAGGGTGTACCCGAGCACTGGTGGAATGGGGTCTAAAATGTGTTTGATGTCGACACGCAGTTACGTGTTCGGAAGAGTGGGAGGGGGAAGTTAGATCGTTGGAACGCGCGGCATTCGTTTAACGATCGGCAAACGATCGATCGCCGGTGCAAGAAGTGGGAGGAAAATGCGGAATGAGACACACTATCCGATATGGTGTTACATCGTCGACTATCTAGCGCGCACAGCCCGTACCCGAGGCATTTTGTTGCTCGGACGATTCACCTGGCGATTCTCGCGCGACAATCCTCCGATTCGATTAATCGATCCGCCCCTTTGTCCCACCGGAGACTTTGTCGCCGCGCCGTCAATTTCAAAGACAGAGGGAAAGAATTTGTTGAGAGTATCGGGGAATGAATTATTATTATTATTTCGCAGACGCAGGAAGAAGCGTCTCGAAGGTACGACGTATCTTGAAAATATTTTCAAACATATTTTCGCTTCGAATATCCCCAGATACACGTACGCGTGTGTAGGGTGGTCGTTTTGTTCCTGGTTGGCGAAACCGCTTCGTGAGAGCCTTCTATTCACGGTGGAAACGAAAGTAAGAGAGCGTCGCGTATGCATCGGTAATATCTTTATCGAACCGGAATGACGAGACGCCCCGGAGCGGGAGTAAAGCAAATATTTATCGGCGAACCGGTGAAATTTTTCCCCGAGATTCAATTGGCTGGCGTGCCTACGCGGAGGGAGGTTTCGGGGCAACGACGTAGAAAAATAGGCGTTATTACAGAAAAATTTGGAGCGGAAGGTAATAAAAGCAATCCTCGGTATTGAACGGAATTGGAAACACACCGTGTAGAAAAGTACTTCCTAAATATCAAAACAATTTCGCCGAATGTAAAAGCACAACCGGTTCCTGTTTGGGGGAGCGCGCAGCGATTCGACGCGCCAGATAAAGCCTCCCGTCGAACGAGAATCAATTGGTCACCGTGAGAAATCAAGATTGTGAACTCTCTCTCTCTCTCTCTCTCTCTCTCGATCGGTCGCCGGCTGATCGAGAATGTGCCGCGCAGTTTGCTCGACAAACTGGTGTCAAGATCGACAAATAACCCCTGAAACCGTCGACGCCGATAACGTTAAGAGGAAGGAGAGAAGAAAGGAAGAGGAAAAGAAGGCGGTTTCCAACGAAACGGCAAAGTGAACCAATTCAACCAGCCAGGCATTACGGAAAAATTGAAAAATCCTGCCAACGTAAATACACCGGAGGGTCGCCGGTGATTACACGAGAAGGGATTGAAACTATCCGGACGCTAAGTGGATCTACAATGTGTTCTCTTAAACGTATCCGAGGAGACGGCGAGTTACGATCTCCGGTGTACTGTAATTTAATATTGAAATGCGAATTTTTTTCTGTTTTTCTTTCCGATCGATCACGTCGCGTGGCTTTCCCGCAGTCACCACCGGGCCGCCGTGGTACGTAGTTGCTAATTGCACGGTGCAGAGAGAGGGGAAGAGAGGACGCAGCGTATCCTGGACATTTCCGAAATCACGGTGATTCCCGGGGCCTCTCGGTACCTTTATTGCTTTGCCGCCTATTACGGAAATTACAGTCGCGAGAGGTACAATTATCCGGATATACACGTACCCCCCCCCCCCTGTATATACCAAAAGAATCTGCAAAGAAGTTGCAAGATAGGTACGTCGTCCAGTCGATAAAGTGCTACTTAGGAGGAACTGTACGATCGACTACCGAGACAAGAGTAAGAAAGTAAAGGAAGAAACAAGCTTTTTTCTAGCAACTGGCAAGAACAGCTTGCCAACAGATTATCGACAAACACTTTCGATATTGGCAAATTGCTCTTACTGGGCGCTCCCGCCTCTCTCTCTCTCTCTCTCTCTCTCTCTTTCTCTCTCCCGTTTCCTCTTCCCTTTTGGTTTTGATCCCTGTGCAGGTTCACCCGGTGAGCTTGCCGCCAGTCGAGCACCATGTCGTTCGCCCACAGGAGAAGTTAAATCGAATCCGCTAACTGCAGCCTAAGAACAAACCGGAAGGGACGAGAAGAGAGAGGGTGGACGGTCTCGATACGCGGCTAACTTTCGTGGAAGTTTGATGCTTCGTAAATCAATGGCCATTCGTCGGGCCACGTTAAATTATTCTCGGCTCGGTGAACCACCCCAATCCTCCCCCTCCAGACAGAAGATTCTATGGATTTTAACGTGGCGAGCTTATCTATCAACCCTGAGTGAGTGATTATTTCGAACTGACCCGATTTTCGGCTCGACGGAGATAGAATTTTCGAACAGCGTCCATCGAAACTTCATAATTAGACCTGTGCGAGAAAGATTCGACGGATATCCGGATTCGATCCAGAATAGTTCGCGTTGTCAGCCATCGTCATCTCTATTCTCGCCAACAATTTTTCGGGATTACTCCCGAGCATAAGCGTCTTACATTTGTTATCGCGCCGGTATAGCTACTCTCTCTCTCTCTTTCCCCTTGCTCTTCTCTTTCTTCTTTTAATAAAATTCAACGAGCTTGCAGCCGATTCGCCCCGGCGGATAAAGTTACGCCGGCATAAATGTAACTTTGTAAATGAGCCCACGCGCGGAACAATGGGGAAGGGAGCGTTGTCTCCTCTGGAAAACTCGCGTCCTCGGGGGAGAGAAAGAAAAAAAAGTGTCCTCGGAACGAGATACCGAGGCTGGCTCACATCCTGAACCAACACCGTTGCGTCTCTGCCTGTTCTTACGTAAGAAAGTCGAGAAGCAAGGGAAGGATGGAAGTTTGTCGCGGGACTATCGTAAACGATATCGTCCGACGACGAAAAGAAAAAAGAGAAAGAAACAAAATGAAAACTACGTGAATTTTTGAGGGGCCGCGAACATCGGGTGACGAGATAGGCAGACGTCCAACAACACTTCTC